TTGCCAATAAAAGCAGAGAGCTAAGTAAGCACAGGACAAATACTAAGACTACTTAATAGCAGATGCTGGCTGGACCAAACAATGCATGAAAACGAGTGAAATCAAACCTAGATGGTGATGAAAACAAGATCAGAAAACCTGGACTTTATTTTGGAGGTAATGCAATACACCACTGAAAGTTCTGAGCATGGACGATATGATGAAAGCTGTACTTTAAGGAAATTTTAATGTTATGTAAAAAATATTAAAGCAAAGAAATAAATTATTGAGTCAATGTTTAGGTAAAGAAATTCCAATTATAGTAGCAGCTGAAATAGAAAGCAATACTGGAGATATGTTGCATCTAGACAGGGAAGGAAATTAAATGTGTGAAACAGACTATTTCTGAGGCTGAAAGTACAACAGGAAGGGAAGAGGACTACTGATTGTGATGAGACACTGAGTTCAAGAAATTTCATGTAAATTTTTACATATATTTTTATATATCCCAAATACCTATATTCCTTTTTATATCATACATGAGCATTCTATCTTTTCAAGTGGTTTTAAATCACCAAGCAACTTAAGTATAATTACAAGAGGATACAGCATGCACGAACACTCCTACTCTGTATTTAGATAAACAATAGAGATTAAAGGCATCTTTGCTTTGGAAATCAGAGCCAGCAAATGACCTTCATACTGAAGACAGTCAAAAGGATTCATCAAAAACTGGATGGGAGAAATAGGTGAAGGGGATTAAGAGTACACTTGTTGGGGGCACCTGGGTGGCTCAGTTGGTTAAGCGACTGCCTTCGGCTCAGGTCATGATCCTGGAGTCCAGGGATCGAGTCCCGCATCGGGTTCCCTGCTCAGTGAGGAACCTGCTTCTCCCTCTGGCCCTCCCCCCTCTCATGTGCTCTCTCTCTCTCTCTCTCATTCTCACTCTCTCAAAATAAAAAAAAAAAAAAAATCTTTAAAAAAAAAGAGTACACTTGTTGGGATGAGCACTGAGTAATGTACGGAATTGTCGAATCACTATATTGTATATCTGAAACTAATGTAACACTGTATGTTAATTATACTATAATTAAAAAAAAATCTTTTAGAAAAGAATCACCAGGTCAAGTAATTTACCATCTACTTAGGGAGGCAGCAGTAACTTACATGTAACAATTTGAGAATTAAATAGAATACTAACCATCAGTATTTTAAGAGATGGAAAAGATTAACATAAACTTGTGAAACCAAATACTTCAAGACAAAAGGCTTTCCTAAGTAGTTAACTGATTTTAACTTTTGTTCAGAAAACGTCAGATGAGTAACACAGTTGGCACTGTGCAGCAGGGGCTTCTTTCAATTCTTAAATTCATTAATTCAAATGTAACTAATTTCATACTTGAAATTTAGGGTGTCTAAAAACTGAAGATGAAAACTGCTAACCAAAGAACCCTCAGTAAATGACTCACTATGAAGGGCTATACTGGCCAGTACTAGGAACAGAAATTAGGAGGTACCAAATTCTAGGCCAGTGATTCTATTAACACTTCATGTCTAACACATTTCTGAAGTTTATGGTTTAATACTTTGAAGTACATTCTATCTCACAGTAAATAATACTCCATTTTAATATTAATGTTTTACTGAAGGACTACTGGAAAGGGTTCAAACTAGAAAAAAATAAAGCTAAAAAGATTTAGTGCACTCTAATACAGTTCTGAAATATTTTCCTTCCAACTCTAAATGAAGTGGTCTGTCAAAATATCTTATATTCTGCATTGATACGATCAATATGGCACAGCCAGGGCCACACAGCTATTTAAAATTTCAATTAAGTGTTCTTTTTCCCTGACCCATACGAAAAGATATAACCATACCCTAAAAAAAAGGGCCTAAAGTAGTTCTCACCCTAAGACATCTAAACTAGGAAACTGAAACTTAACAGGAAATTTAGGTAAATAACCTATTGATGTATTATTTTATCTTGTGCTTGATTCAGTGACTTAAATTGTAGATGCTCCATAAATATATGCCAAATAAACTTGAAGAGAACCCAGATGCAGAAAGTCTTATTTCTCAACACTTGCAGTTGTGCTATCTGGATTCAAACTTGAGTATATACAAACGTTATAAATAGGGTGGGAGTGAGGGGAGTGAGAAGGAATGGTGTGAGATCACATACACAAGCCCTTCAGAGGAAATGATCCTACGTTTAAAATCCTTCAAAAAAATTAGCAGTATACAATCATTACTAAATAAACATCTCAGGATAAAGTTTTTGTAAAGATCTACAGTTTTTTTTTTTTAAAGATTTTACTTATTTGAGAAGCAAGGGGGTGTGCCACAGGGGCAGAGGGAGAGGGAGAAAACAGGCTCCCTGCTGAGCAGGCAGACCAATGGGCTCATTTCCAGGACCCTGGGATCATGACCTGAGGAGAAGGCAGATGCTTAACCAACTGAGCCACCCAGGCGCCCTGAGAATTTTTTTGAATACTTTTTCTTTTCAGACTTTTGCCTCAGACTTTCTCTAAGGCATGTTATTGTTCATTAAATTTATCTTGCCAAAATAAAATGAATTTGGAATATTTTTGTTTCACTTAACAGTATTTCATTAGGTTTTGTCTTAGTATCTGATGTCTTTTGAAAAACAAAATCCACAAATTAACAACTGTCATAAACGAACAGATTTCCTATTCTTTCATTCATAAGGAAGATTTAGTCCTCTAGCTTAGGGACTCCAGCAAGGGCACAAAATTTTCTAAAAATAATTTTAATATCGAAGAGTAGTTTGGAGGAAATATAACTATTATGGCAGGATTTTAACATGAAGTATAAGGATCCTTATAGGAGTCACAGATGTGCTTTAGGCAGTCCATAAGCTCAGTGAAATAATGCACAAATTGTAATACTATATGCAAACACATTCTTTTCTGGGGACAGAACACAGCTCTCATTTTTCAAAAAATCCATGACCACTCCCCACAGCCCAAATTAAGAACCATGAAGAAAAAGGCATCTAAGTTTGTGAATACGGATACTAATAAAAATATTAGAGTATGGTTTTTGTTCATGTTTATCACCTACTTAGCCATAAGAGCCATTTTGTTAAAACACAAAATTGCTGATTTTTTAAATTAAGCCACTATTCTTTAAGCCCTTTTTTCTGGTGCTATTACAATTTCTTACAGGCACTGGGTAACTAGCTTCCTTTAGCTTAAGAAAACACAGGAACGAAGTTTTCCTGTGTTGGCCATTTGCAAGCTGATTTTATAAAACAGAGATGGCTTTTTTCTATTATTTGGTATTTTAGTAAGACTCATGAAATTTGTTTTTGGCATTCTAGATACTAATAAAACATCCCAATGTAACTATTACTTTAAGATATTTTTATTTTAACAAGAACAGATACTTCATGTATGCCCTATTATTAGGCTATCGCAAATCAGTCTACAGTAAATAAAGCCCAGTTGCCCCCCTGGTTTGACCATTCAATCACTATGAATTATGTGTAGTGCTGTATTCTTTACTACTTTACTCCAACAACTTTAAAATACCAGTTGAGGGTGAAATGAAGCAAAAGAGACCCAAAGCTGGGGTCTCTGCCATTCCCTAACATATACAAAACAAAGGGATAGTAGCAAAAGAAGAGTTAATCTGCAGTGTGCTTCTGGACCTTCTCAAAGACCTGACCAAGCTTTAAACTTCGTGAATAAATCTCAATTCCTCCAGGTGTTCTTTCTCTGAACAAAAAAATACACACTTCCCCTAAAATGGTTAGAGCATTCCAGTTTATCCCATTCTGACCCTTGGGCTTTTTAAATTTAGTAAATTTTAAAAGGTTAAATTTGTTGGCTTGGAGCCTAAAAGTTTCTGTGTATCCATGTATGAAATTCAAACAGATGAAATGATCAAAAAACCCCATCACTAATAAGAACCAAAGACAAAATCCAGATGCAGAAAAGTCTTTTATACAATATGTAAACTTCTTTTACTCATACCTTAACCCATTTAGTTAAACATTAGGTCCTACTATGTGGCCCAGCTGTAGGGATTCACAGTAAATAAAACATAGTTCCAATTCTTGAGAGAGTCTATCAGGAAGATTTCAAACTTCTAACGCTGATTTAAAGAACATGCAAAGATTGCAGCCTTACTTGAGTATTACATAAATTCAAAAAGCCAATACTGAAGGTAGCCAGAGGCAATTCCTGCCCACCCTGAGCATCTGTAGTAATATTTCTGCAGTACTCGTCATCAATACCACAAAAGAAACAGATGGGAATAGTTTTTAATTTTATTCTTTACTCAGGATATTTATTGAGTACATGTTATAATGATACTCTATACTTAAAGGAGAAAATGATAACTTGCTTTAAATCTAAACAATATACTATTCTTATAGCAGACAGTAGGAATTTCCCTCCTTTATTAAGTTCTTATTTTAAGATGTATCAATTTGTACTCCTAAAAGGCTGGCATTAAAATACAAAAAAGATGAGTTTTTTCCTCCTGCTTCCAAAATTCTTGTTACCCCAGATGATCACGAGAAGAGTTAAAAGTAAAAAATTAACATGTACAACACATCATCACAACTCCCAGCTGAATTTTTTCCATATGGCATTTTTGTAAATTAAAATTACTAACTAAATCAAAGATCAGCAAGTAGTTGCGAAGTGATGAAGACTTTAAACCCTAAAGCAGCTATGTAATTAATCTGGCAACTTAACTTTGTAAATTCAAACCTAGTAGAATAATTTAGAGGTAAAAAATCCTAATAATTTTAATTTATGATGTGGGAGTATATCTATATATGTATATAGATATGACCACATTATAAATTTGTGTGTGTTTTGGGGGGTTTTTTTTTTTTTGGTCACCTCTTCCAAGATCAATCAAGAGGAAAACAGTAATTCATTTAAGTCAGAACTGGGCACACCTTTTAAAAAATTTCAATAGTATGTTTCCTTCAGATGGCATTACAATAAATGTTCTATGAAACTGTTAGCTGAAGCCTTAGATAAGAATAAGGTCTGTTTTGAGAACAGCATTTATCATTGCCCAAGAGTTCAGAAAATGTTGCAGATTTTAAGATATTTAGCTTGGACTACTACAGATAACTGAAAAATGTTCCTCATTTTAAAAAGGCAAAGTAAATTTACGTTATTTGACTTTTTGCGTGAGAATGTCACTCAAGTTTTCTAAAATGGTAACTCTGAGTTTACATTAAACCCTTCCGACATGAAAAGTACAGATATTAGCAGAATATTCACTAAGTAAAATGAAAATATTACCTGGTTTCTAAGGCACACCGTTAGTTATACCATCTAAAGTGGGATTTATTTGATGAACTGCATTAGCTCTCAGAACATTTGCTGCAAGTCATGTAGAAAGAGGCAAGTATTCACATAATACATTAGTCTGTTGTCAAGAAAGATACTTCAACTAAAATATGTCAATCCTCGCACCTGAAATCACTTAGACATTACTGATGTGATATCTGGAAGAGTTTCTGTATAGAAGGTTTTTTAGACTGACAAACATGTTCAGTGCTTTAGAGGGCTGGGTGAACTCAGTTCTCTTTTGTTCAACAATGCCTCATCTCCACTGCATAAAGCTTGGTCTCCAGTTCCACTATCCAATGCCTGGCTTACATTAAGTTGTACTTAGTTGGTACTGCATAAAGTAACAGTGTTATAAAAGGCCTCTAGATCACAAGGTTCAAATGTAATAGCTGGTTTCATTAATGTTCCAGGAGCAAGAGAACCCTCTCCAATAATTCTCAGGTTGATAAATTTGATTTTCCACGTATTTTCCACAAAAGGGCAGCGTATGAGTCCAAAAATTTGTTCAAAAATGCCCAAACAAGTATTCCCTCGGTGGACAGTCCCAGCAACTCCAACCATAACCAGACCATGCGGAGAAGAAGCACATTTCAGTCCACGGGAATCTAGGTTGGGACTGAGAAAAAGATACTCTTCTTTCACTAGTGACAGCAGACGAAGGCTCACAATTTCTGCTCCATAGTAGTCTATCACATTTTGTTCAGAGGTGTTGTAATAAAACCTAAGCTTGACATCGTGCCAGAAGTGCTGTGGCCCCCATTCATCTTGAGGTGGTCCCAGAAAAGGATTCTGAGAATTAAGAAGTTCAAAGAACCAGTGACAAAATTCTTCTCCTAATCGACGAAAATCAACTTTTTCAGTTTTATCTTCTTTTTCCTGCTAAGATAAATAAAATATAAAATATAACCAAAGTCAGTTCTCACATCTTTTTTTCTACCTAGTCTGTTTTAGAGCTAAGTTTTCATATGCTGAGTATAACAGAAGCTAAATAAACTACAAGTGAACTCACTGAACCCATCACGCACACACTGTTCTTCCAAAAAGGGGAAAAATCATTTTAGAATTTCCCACCTTAAACATCTGAAAATTCAGCTAAGAGATTAAGGTTTAACAAAGCCTCTCAAAATATCAGCATGAACAGTCAACAATGATTTACGTATTTTCTCTTGATTGTGTCAGTGGTTTCACAATGTCTGTCCAAGCAGCATGTATGCTTTAAATGGATACACTTCTTTGCATATAAACTACACTAAAATAAAGTTGGTAACAAATAAGAATTTTTTACTATCTTTAAACAGAGTTCTAATACGACTGAAAATACATTACTTTTTATGATTGGGATTATTTTTGTACTGTTATTTCTCTTTTTTACAAAGGGTAATGTTATTGCAAAAATATACCTGACAAGCTTGATTTTACTCATCTATGTGAATAGATGAGAATATTCCAGAGCACAGTACCTCATTTTGATGGTAAGAATCTTTTACTGACAGAGCACCCATGATTGAGTATGCCTGGCTCTGTGCTTGGGACTTACGGACTATTTCCTTCTATCTTCAAAAGCCTATTTACACAGATACTATCATTATTATGCCTGCTTTATAGATAAAGTAAACAGGGCTCAGGAGAGTCAAGTTACTCGCTCAAGTTCACGCCTAGCACAGGGCAGGACCTATCTGAAGTCACATCTGTATGATTTCAGAGTCAACGTTCTCTTTAGCATATTAAGAAAGCTCTTAGAAGATCCTTTCCTACTGTGAAAGCAAATGCCTCTTACTGTAAAACCTCACAAATTCAAAGTATGTAGTTTAAAATTTGCAAATTCATGGAAGGGGCTTCTGGAGTGGGTGGCAAATTTCTATTTCCTGACCAGCATGGTCATTACAAATGTTTTTGCTTCATGGACATTTATTAAGCTATATATTTGATTTGAAAAGGGGATGGTCTTTCTGTGCTTTAAAAAAAAATAAAATTTGCAAATTACCTAGAGTTCATACAGTCAGTATTTAAATATTCACAGAGTATCTAAAATGTCCAGTGGATACAAAGAAATAGGAACAGACAATGTCAGCTGGAGGAAATTATTACAAGAGGATTTTTCCTAGCTAAAAAAAAAAAATCAAATGTAAAAATTACTTAAGTTTCTCTCATAGAATTTTTACAATTTAATACCTTTACTGGTCTTCCTTTAGAATGCAAAGGATATGATGTGAAGCTAAATTATAAAAGCCAAAATATTAGCCCTGTTCCCACAGATCTAGGATTATCTAAAGAGTTTAGACAGAACTATGATTTAGGGTATAAATATAAGATCTATTTTACCTGTTGAGATAGTCTCATGTCCTCTGTCTTAACTGGCTCTGGTGTTTCCTTCAATTTCAGATGTAACTGCTTTTTCCAGTAATCCTTTGCATGCTGAATAAGATTGTGCTTTTCAGTAGCTGGAGGTATAATAACCCCCTGTGTTGCCAAGTACTTAAATATGACTTCTCGGTGGACTTTCTTACGCTTCAAAAGTTCTTCTGCACTTTGACTGTACAATAATATTGCACGAATGGCATCTAGAAGGAAATTATAAAGATTAGTAGAAAATCACAAGTCACTTGTAAATCTGTCCAGGGTCAGCAGAAACCCTATCAAATAATATTTATAAATTCTTGTCACGGCATTACTCTTTTTGCATGAGATGGTAATTTTTAAAAACCAGAAAGTGAGTTGTCAGATTTTGGGTTTAAAAATTTTTTTCTTTATGCTTTAAACTTCCCTACCTAAACTTACTTACCTCTTCCTTTCACTTCTCATAAGATAGTAAAAGTTTTTCATTTTTTTAAAAGAATGACATGTTTTAAGAAAAAAATTTGAGCCAGAGAAAAAAATTTTTTCTAAGAAGGCCAATGGACCTAAATTCATTTATAATCCCTAACATAGGTAAAATTACAGTTATTTTAGGTGTGCAAGGACTTTTAAACTCCTTACTCTATAGACAATGAAAGTTGAGAATATATGAGGTATCAACAATCATGCTTCTAAGAAGTGGCAGAACTAATACTTGTATTCTTTTTTTAATTTAAAAAAAGATGTTAAACAACAGATCAAAGATTATTTTTTACATGCATAAAGAATACAGAATAGCAAAAGAATGAACTCCCATGTATATACAACATAACTTAAGACGTAAGATATTACTAGTATCTTTGAGGCCCTCATTTTAACCCTCCCTACTTAATACTATTCCCTCTCTCCACTCACCCACCTTAGAGATAGCTGCTATCCTAAATGTTGTTTATCAATACCTTGCTTTTCTTTATAGTTGTACAGCATAACTATGAACTCCTAAACAATACAGTTTGGTATTTTTGGAACACTCTATAAATCCAATCCACACACACACACAGTCTTTCATATTCAGCTTTTCACTTAATGTTGTTTCTGACATTAATCTGTGGATATATGTAGCTCTAATTTTTTGACTGTTAATTCATTTAACTGTACCACAGTAAATTATATGACTACATCACAAGGTTATCTATTCTGTTCATAGATTTTTACTGGGTGTGTCCAATTACAAACACCATCACTTTGAACATTTTCATAAATGTCTCCCAGTGCACAGAGGGGCAAGCAGCATGAGGGTCATCTGGGAGCTGAAGAAATGCTGAATTTCTGGGCTCACTCCAAAACTACTGAATCAGAATCTGCATTTTTCACAAGAATCCTGAGGGACTGATTCACAGGCACATTCAAGCTTGAGAAGCTCAGGTCCAGAATATAAGCCCGGAAGTAAGCAAATAATTCCACTTAGAGATGATGTCAAACTTGTTTTCCAAAGTTCTAATTTACACTCCTCCAATTGTCAAAGACCTGCTTTGCATGATCACCACGTTTAGTTTTTTGCCAATCTGGTAGACAGGAAAACACTGTGTTTCGGTTTTCATTTCATTGTTTTTTAAAGAGATTATCTTTTCATAATAAATAAAGAGATTATCTTTTCATATGCTTATTATTTTTTTCCTCTCTGAGAAATTCTCTCTCCTAATCATTTAACATTTCTGTACTGGGAAGTTTCTTTTTATTTGCTTTTAGACCCACCATCAATTAAATCCAACATTTTTATCTATTACAATTTTAAACTCACACTCACAAGGACTGTTAGGTGGTGATTAGCATGTGAAATACATAAATGCTTAAGAACTATATTAAGTCTAAAACTATCTGCATTCTAAATTCTTAGGAATTTCTTCTTTTAAGTTTGAGGAAACATTAAGTTTGAAGTTTCAAATGAATGATTTTCTTAAATGGCAAAAACGTAAATCCAATTTAAAAGCAGAGAAATACAGATTATGCTTTCGTAGTTATTTAAGTCATACTAACGTAGAAGTTTGGAGTTTTCACATTTTAAAGTAAGACGGTCCCGATGATATGCCAAGTGAAATACACACACAAGCTTCTTGATTACATTTTTATATGGAGTAGTTACAATCAATATTGATTGAATATTAATAACCCTTTAAATCTACTCTACAGAAATGTTTATTTGGCTCTGAAAACAACGTATTCCTACTACACAAAATCATCTCAGAAAAAAAATTAGATCCCAAAAGAGACATGGATTCAAACTATCTGCTCTTTTATTACAGTAGTTTTAATTACAAGGCTGAAAGTGTTTATATCCTCCCAGAGGCTTGAAGAAGAAAACTTAAGTCAGCAGCTGACTCCTCAGATCCGCCGAAACTGAAAATGAAAAACACCCTGGATATTCTGAAATCACTATTCACGTACTCTAAATTCTCGAAAAAATAAGCATTTGCCCAAACATCCGGCAGATAAAACCTGGAAGCAGAGCCGTTTGCAGTGCCACCACCTCTCCCGGGGATCTGGCGCTTCAGGGCCGCCTGAAGGCGCACGGCGGTTCCCAGGCCGGGAGGCAGGGGCGGCGGCCGGGACTCTCGAGAGTTCCGCCCCAGCACCGTCGGGCCCCGATGCTGGGCGAGGTCTCGCACCTCCTCTACTCCCACGTTCTGGCAACCTGGGGCCCGAGGGGGCGTCCGCCCTTGGGGAGAAAAGTCAACACTTACCTTGGCGGTCCTCAGGCCGCACCAGGCGGTTGGTGATGGTGTCGCACAGGGCCATGATATCATCGTTGTCTAGTAAGCCGAGGAGGTTACGACAGCCCTCCATCTCTGGAAAGCTGAGCCCCGACATCTCGACCCCCAAAAGAGGGGGGGAAGAGGACTACCCAGTGATGCCGTCCCTGCAGGCCCACCAGGCCGGCGCCTAGGCAACATACACCGGAAGTGCCTTTCCTGTTGTTCTCCCCCAAAGGGCCTCCGGTATTCCTAAGCCCTGGGCGGAAGTGATTGCCAACAAGGTCAATCAGGAAATGTGGTGCTCCGACTTGTCGTTCCGGGGTGGACAGGACGGAGGGGAATCCAACCGATCTCACTTTAGGAACTACCGCGTTTGCACCGAGAACAGCGATCTTCCACAAGGAACCTGGTTCCGGAAAGCGAAGCCCTTTACTCTGAGGAGTCCAACCTCCAAAAATGCGCCTGGGAGGGCTGCGCAGGTGCAGGTGCGTGGAAAGCGGGTGGCGGGCCCTGCGCACGGCGAGCTCCCGTGATGCCGCGGGGCCGGCCAATGGAGGCGCCTATTCCCCGCCCGTGGGTCTGACCCCCGGGAGCGCTTGAACGTCCTCTGCGGCCAGTTCTGAGTTGGGTGCACCTGTAGTTTGATGTTCTTAAATTACGCAGTACAGTATTAAAATAATTTGGTTCTGTTTAGCAATAGACTATGAAAGGTTAAAAAAAAAAAGTCACCTATCACATGCCATGCCTTCTTGCTTTCATCTCTAACGGATCGGCTGTTGCTTGATTCCGGTCCTCGCCAGCTTGGTTTTAGACGATGCTGTATCGCGAGCAATTTAGGGCTGGGGACTCTGGAAGCCAGATTACCAGGGTTTTACTCCGCCACCATTCACTAACTGTGACCATGGACATGCTTCTTAGCCTTTTTGTCCCTCAGTTTCCTATCTCGAAATGGACCTAGTAGAGTTAGCTACCTCATAGGTTTGCGGGTGCGGGGGTGCGGGGCGGGGTGAAGGACAGTGCCTGGCACCTAGAAGGAACTCAGTGCATGTTAGCTGCTGCTGTTAGTGTGGCAGCAACTCGTATTCACCAATGGAAAAGTCATGCTGGGCTCGACCGAGAGCGATGAGGAATTAGGCTTAAACATCGTCACTTGTCTCTGGCCTCTTCCACATTTTAGGCATATTTTTGATTTGTTTAACATTTAATTAGGATATTGCCATTTTGTAGCTGAAATGTACATTTCTGCAGATCCAGGTGAGCAAATTTAACGTTTTAAAAAATATCACAGCTAAATGTCAGTTTTAAAATAAACTGTAAATGTGGAGTAGGCATTCAAAGCATGCCTATACTAATTTGCCAGTGGATGTTATTTGGGCTATCATTTACTCAACAGATAAAAATCCTTTATTTTTCGGGGCGTCTAGGTGGCTCAGGTCATGATCCCAGTGTCGTGGGATCAAGCCCGCATGGGGCTCCAGCCTCGTATCGGGCTCCCTGCTCAGAGGGAGGCCTGCTTCTCCCTCTCCCACTCCCCCTGCTTGTGTTCCTTCTCTCGCTGTTTCTGTGTCCAATAAATAAATATTTTTTTTAAAAATCCTTCATTTTTCGGGCGCCTGGATGGCTCAGTTGGTTAAGCGACTGCCTTCGGCTCAGGTCATGATCCTGGAGTCCCGGGATCGAGTCCCGCATCGGGCTCCCTGCTCGGCAGGGAGTCTGCTTCTCCCTCTGACCCTCTTCCCTCTCGTGCTCTCTATCTCGCATTCTCTCTCTCAAATAAATAAATAAAATCTTTAAAAAAAATAAAATAAAATAAAAATAAAAAATCCTTCATTTTTCATTAAGTATTGAGTATGTACTATGCTAGGGATTGAAGATTCAGAGAAATGACACAGACCCTCCTTTCAAGGATCTTTTGAGAGTGCTGCAAGGGCTAACAAGTGCTCATCATGCTGATGTGGGACCATATAGAAGGCATACCCAACCTTTTCTTTCATTCATTCCTTCATTTAAAAAGGGAAAATAAAGTATTTATTGAGCATCTATTTGCCAGACATTGTTCGTTGTGTTGGAACAAATACAGTTTCTTTGGAGCTTTCAGTCTAGTGAGAAGAAATAGACAGTAAACATATAAGAAACTATATACTGTGCCAGGAAATGCTATGGAGAAAAATAAATCAAAAGGAGGGGGATGGAGCGGATGTTGCATTTTTATACAGCCTGTCAAGAGAGACTTCTCTAAGTAATATTGAAAGAAAGACCTGAGGAAAGTGAGTGAAGCACAGAAGAGTGTTGGAGGAGGAAACAATATTAGAGGTTCCAAGGAAGAAGCAGAGTGCTTGGCAATGTAGGAAGGAGGCCAGAGCAGCCTGTTCAAGGAGGAGGCAGTGAGGTTAGAGTTGCAGTCAAGATTGAGCAGTGTTTCTCAGTGAGGCACTATTAACATTTTGGGCAGGATAATTCCTTGTTTGGGGGCTGTTCTATGCATTGTAGGATGTTTAACAGCATCCCTTGCCTCTACCCACTAGATGCCAGTAGCACCTCCTCCCCCAGGTTGTGGCTACCAAAAATATCTCCCAATTTACCAAATGTCCCCGGGGGGCAAAATCATCCCCAGTTGAGAACCACTGATACAGAACCACCTGTCCAAAAGTTCCTTGAGATAATGAAAATGTTCTGTATCTGTGTTGTTCAGTACAGTAACCATCAGCCACATGTAGCTGTTGAGCAGTTGTAATGTGGCTAGTACAATCAAGGAACTGAATTTTAAGTTTTATTTGAATTTTAGTTAAATTCTAATAGCCATATGTGGCTAGTGGCTACTGTATTGGATATTGCAGATCTAGAGCCTTGCAGGCCCTTGTGAAGATTTTGGCTCTTTTACCTGTCTTCATTTTCTGTTATTTTCTCAGTCTCTTACTCCAGACTAGTCACAGTGGTCCCCTTGCTATTTGTTCCTTAAACTTGCCTCTTGCTTTTATTTACTTGAGAGAGGAGCAAGCAAGAGAGAGAGCACGAGTCGGGGTGGGAGGGGGGGAGAGGGAGAGAAGCAGATTCCCCTCTGAGCAGGGAGCCCAAGAACAGGGGCTCCATCCCAGGACTCTAGGATCGTGACCTGTGCCAAAGGCAGATGCTTAAACTGACTGAGCCACCCAGGCACCCCCCGAAATTTAGCATTTCTAAGAAGTTCTTAGGTGATGCTAATTTTGCTGCTCCAGGGACCACACTGTAAGAATCACTGCTAATAGAAGAAAGTGAGACGTCAGCCACCTACTGCTACCAGACTTCATCCTTTGTCTCTGAAATCATTGATCCTCAGGCAGGTCTGACTCTATTTGGTTATATTATAGCCACTCATGCTCTGTATTTGCAGGGAAAACTGCATGGTAGAATGAAAACTGCTTGGCATTATGGTTTTAGGAGGACACATCTGATTTTTCAATCCCACCTCTCCTGTGTGACTTCAGTCAAGTTATTTAATGTTTTTGAGCCTTGGTTTCTAAAACGCTGTGTTCCTATCTGTCTTTGAGTTTTAACAATTAGGGGTAACATATATAAATTAGCTAGTATATAGTAATTTAGTAAAACAGGAGACATTTCTTCTCCAGTGTGTGGCACTCATAAATAAGGCATGAACCTCTCCCCCACTTTTAGTTTTAATTCCACGTAATACCGGATTGCCGCTTCATTTGACAGCCAAAACTCCTGACCCTTTTATTGGGTGATTCTTGAAGCTGGTATGAAATTTATATTAAGCTCTGAAAAGCAACCTCTTTTGTTTATCTTGGAAGCATACTTAGTAATATTGCTTTCCAGAATTCCTCAAGTCTCAGGAAAAAAAAAAAAAGTCTAGATAACTCCAATACCTTTATCTAAATACCTCAGTACATTTAATAGTCTAAAATCATATGACCAAAAGCATAGACTGAGAATTCCAGATCTCAGCTCTAGAATGCTTGAATAACTTTCCCATTGTTTTTCAAAGCATGTTTGCACTATGTGCAAATCACTGGACGTAGCACCGTCCTTTCTTTTGCATTGCTATCATCGCATCGAACAAGGTCTTTTTCTACTTCAGCCCTCATTTTTTTCTAGTTGCAAGTGATAGCAAAGGGTATAGGGTGTTTTCCTGTTAGTCAACCAAAAAAGTAGGAGCCCTCATGCCCAAGGACTCACTTTTAGCTACAGATTAATTGGTTTACACGTTTTCCCACTGGAATGCTTTTTAGGAAGTAATTTTCATCAATATTTACACCTTATTTCAAAGTGACTTCCCAGTGTTTTTTTGTTGTTTTTGTTTTTTGAGTTCCACCAGATGCTCTTCATCTTTTGAAGATTTACCAACACACTGTCTTTCACTTAGAGAGTTGTGATATTTGTCTACCTACAAAGTTTGCAGAGGGTACCCAAAATAACTTTAATAACCAGCATTCTGTCAACTTGTAATTCCTGCATGTAGACGTTAGTTAAAATAATGTCTAAAATGTTTTACGTAAACTTCTAGATTTTTCTATTTTAAAATGTTTTTAAAAATTAATCTGAATATGGTAATATTAACTGAAATAATTCATTCTCTTATGAGACATAATAGGAACTTTCTTATTTACTATATACCTTAAGCCTAATTCCTTTTGAAGCAGTGTGCTACATAAAACTGAACACTTCATTACCAACAAGGACAATGTTTTATTGAACAAGTCTATGTACAGTACAAAAAATTTCTTGAAATGAGACGCTATTGTTGAATTATTGCAGTTCAATGGCTCAGTTTTTAATTTGTACTCTTATAAAATGCAAAGTAAAATAATTTAATGTTCAACAAGGAAGCACAAATTTCCTTTCTTGCTGAATCTGTAATATCTTTCACATATTAACAATTCCAAAATGCATATGCAGCATTTAGGCATTCTGAAAAGGTGTTTTACAGTACCAAATAAATTAAAAGATAAACACTATCATCCCTTTTAGGTTTTTCATCCATACAACAGTTTAAACCAAACATGAAAGGAGTATGGCTGAACCTTCAAGTGTGATTTGAAAAGAATCACAAGTTCAGTGTTATAAGTCATCTACTCATTATATAATCAGTTGTTTAAAAAAATGAATATGGCTAAAGCCCAAAGTACCAGTGTCCTTGTCCACGGAGATCCCTCTTTTCTGTAATATCTGAGCAGCAAAAATTCAGATTTGCTATTTTCTTGACCTTACTGAAATAGCAGAAAGTTTATAGTTATTGTTTTGAAGGAAATTTTTATTAAAAAAAATAATTGAAACTTGGTCCGTGTAAGATAAGCATATCCTCAAAACAGAAGGAATATTAAAAGAGAAGAATCTGAAGAATAAGAAAGCTTCCTTTTCTTCTGAATCCCAAATTAGAACTGTTGGAAGTTTATGCACCCCACCAAAGCAAAAAATAGAAGCTTATGCTTTATAAGACATAAATAATGAAATGTACGCATACTTTCAGTAGCAATCATTTGAGAAGTATATAAAGAGGTTTAGAACAGCATGGCCAAATAGATTTTTATAAAACATTCCTTGATTTAATTATGTATAAACCGATTTGATCTAAGTGTTTCAGAAAGTTTTCCCTTAGCAACACAAAAGTAGAAATAAAACCTCAAATTAAAGACAAAATTAACTAGTGGAATATGCTTAAAACATCTTGGTACGAACTGCAGAATGAATGAAAATAATTTGCAGAGATGGATTTGTCAATAGATACAACTTATAAAAAAATAAAAAGTTAAAAATGTGATAAAATGTTAAGTTGTAATTTTAAACTTCTGGAAAATGTACAAAGCAGAAATATTTCAAAAAAACTTCATTGTCCAAATGAACCAGTTTCCAAACAGACTCTTTATTACATGCTGTATTTTCTACTGAACTGAAGTAGAACTCAAGTACTGTATTTTCAGTATCAGGAAGTACAGAGGTGTTTTTTTTTTGTTTGTTTTTTTGAGTTGACCTTAAGGGATTTAAAAATCTGATTGAGTTGTTTACTTATCTGTTATTTAAATGTAAATTCCACAGCCTAATGTAGGCTACACAAACAAAACAAAAACCTTAATTTGATTGAAACGGACTTGTGACTATCAATTGCATAGTAGTGAATGAATAAATAAACTAATAAAATTGGGCTTTTTTTTTTTGATATCTTTCATGACCTAGAAATCCCGATTTAATAAAGTCTGGATGCTACCTTGGAAGAAATGTCCCCTTCCTTAGTGACTTCATTCAAGAAGCTTAATATCCAAAAATTTGTAATAGTAGAATCCAGTAAGATTATCTGCTTTGAACAAAAATGTATCAGTTGGAATAACTGGAATATTTGGTTGACCATGGTAATTAGTAGCTCCACCTTTTAAGAATTTGCCTTTGCATTTTTGTTCATTTTATCTGTGCTATAGATTAACACACTAACAGGTAAAAGAAGGTCTTTAAGCTTCCTCTTTTAGAGAATGTACAAGTGGAACATATCTGAGGGGGTATTTTAGAAAACATTTTGTGTTTTAACAATTCATTGCCTAATAAGTTAAAATCTTCCTTAGGAAAATTACTGGTCATCAAGCAAAATAAAAGCATCAATATATCTTAACTGTGTTCCTGCTGTGCAAATTTTTGTGTAAATATTTCCTTTTATATATAAAAATTACTATTCAGACCAAATTCATCACTAATACATAAGAAAGCATGAGTAGTAGTATGGCTTATTTTAGAATTAACTCTCCTAACTGAAAAAAACCAATGAATTCTTGACCTGATTTTAGCTGACATTCTTTTTTTTTTTACAGCCAGTTATTTTTATAGGACTGTACTTAGATAACTCACATTAATGTCTAAAAGGACCTTACTATGAATCATCAAGCAATGTCCTAACACTACTCTATATACAAATAGAAATATCCCAGTGTGCTTATACCATTATTCACATTGAGTTATTTGCAATTCAGTGTTTTCCTTCCATTAGATAGCCTTTATGGTCTTAGATTCTTCCCATCTCTCCCCAAAGTTACTGATAGTACTTTTTCTATTTAATGGACACTGCTGCCTTTAAATACAATTCACTGGTATTACAAAAATGGAAAGTGGAAAGTTCTATTAAGAGCTTATTAGCAAAGTGTTGTTTTGTTTTCTTTTGTTTTTTAATTTCCAATGCTGGCATAACATTCATTGAACTCTGTCCTAATCAATCATCTTGGAAACAAGTTACAATCTTTTATGGATAGCATGGTGATAAATCAAGTTTTATTTTCATGTATCAGTTTCTAAATTATAATAAACCAAATAGCAAAAGTTCTTTAAACCATGTTTGAAGAGAAGGGAGGATATAATCTGATTATGCATGACAAGAAAACAAATCTCATTTGTAGAATACTTCAAGTTGTTTATTGTAAACAATAAACCCCTCCCCTTTTTTTAAAAATGGATTAACTTTTCCCTTTCTGTAAGGCCATAGCTGGTTTTTCTTTCTGACTAGTTGCCTGAACATGTTTCTCACGTAAGTGAAACTGAACATGCTGCATTAAGTCATCAACTTTTTAAAGAAATGTGGTTTTCTGGATAACTGGTACTTTGGGAGTTTTGTAATAACCCTTTTGGAGTCTAAACCAGCACATCTCCTCTCTGAGTTCATTCTAGAAAATGTGCTTTGTCTTTATCTTTAGTAATCCAAGACCGCTTGAAAATTAAGGCCATCAGGAAAATAGCAAACTGATGATGCAATTTCTTGCAGTGCTTTTTTCGCACTACTGCTTGATCGACAGATCTTTCTGTAACATTTTTATCAGGCACCTGTAAAACAGAACATGTCTGTTAATTCAAATTTTATAGTTCAACTGAAATTCTAAGTCAGATTCCTGTTTATACTCTTACTCATTCAAAAAATATTGATAGTAGTAGAAAGGCAAGATCTTCCTTTGCTCAATTTTGTCTTTCAATTATTTTCTGGTTCTTTTTCACTTCTGTTTCTGGAAAAGCAGCTCAACTTCACTTGGTTTATATTCTGGCATCCAAATGAAAAACATGTCCATCACAGTTACTTTGTTTCTAAAACTTTTATTACATGAAACTTGTAATGAAGAAATGTTTCAGACACAGTGAATGAGTATGATCAAAGAGTATGAAAAACCGTGTCCAAGTTCTGACTTCCACAAGTTCATAGGCTATACCTATGCAAATTACTTAACTTGTGAAATTGCAGCTGCTTGATCTATAAAACAGGAGTAGTAACCTCACCTTAAATAGTGTCTATATGGATTAAAAGAAATAATGTATGGGGTGGTGCTTTATTATCTGTGCTATACAAATGTTAACTTTCTTAACCTCATAAAGATCTGTGGCATTTTCTATTTCTACAGACAGACCTATTGAGAAGATAGAAGACTTACTTTCATCATCTGAATCAAATCCAAAGAGTGTCTGACATTTCTTTTGTGCAAGGTGAGCCTCAAGTGCTTCTGCATTACAGTAGGTGGTCAGGCATTTGCCACATCTTAATCTTTTCACGGATTTTTTACAAACGTTATCTTGATCAGAACAGGCATCTACTCTATCAGTCAGAAATTTTCTGCGTTTTGGCATACTAAGGTACCGTTCATCCAGGTAACTGGGAGGCAGTGGTCTGACATATGGCTTTGTTAAAATTAAGCCATATGAAGTATGTTCACTCGTCAGATTTGGTTTGGAAGGTGCCTGAGATACTGGCAGGGTATTATGTTCTTGTGGTACAACACTAGGTAAAATGGAACCGTTTTCTGTCCTGATTCTATTTGCATCAGTTTTCAAAGCAGGATCTGACGAAACTAAAGGTGTCTGCTCTATTCCACTGTGTCCATTGACTAAATCACTAATACTACAATTATTTTCAGAATTTGGCTCTATGTCAGGCATCTTTTGGTCTGTCAAGCTTATATCAGAAACAGTGTCATCAGAATGTTCATTTCCATTCTGAACTAAACCATCTGTTTTCTTTTCCATACTTTCTGTACATGTCTTTGGTTCTGTGGAATCTTTCCTTGATTTGCTAGTAGAAACTGGCAGACTAATAGTTTGTTTCTCATTACTAGATGAGTCTTTTTCCTGATGATTAGGATTTGAGTCTGTAAGAACATCCCAAAGAATTGTTTCACTTGGTTGTGCAGATGATTCTGGTGTTTTACTTAAATAGTGCTGAGCCTCATGTTCATATAGCAGAGGAAGATCTTCAAAAAGCTCATGGCATTCTGGAAAACTACACTGAGCTTGAAATATCCTGTGACTTTTTGTATGCTGAGCAAGCTGGAATGGCAACTTAAACGACTCGTTGCAATTAAAATGCAAACAAAAGTACACATTTGGATAGCTGTGTCTATTAAGGTGATCTATAAAATGTTGAGAATCTTCAAATTGCCTCTGACAGAATTTGCATTTTCCTTTGCTCCACTTCATTACTGTTTGCCGCACATTTAAATCAGTTGGATGTACAGTCCTTGCGTGTTTATTTAGAAAGCCAATTCTTTTAAATATCCTGACACAACCAAGAGCAGGGCACTTAAAGTTTCCTTCTTGATCTGTAGCATATATGTCTTTTGGATGGCACACAGTTCCATTGATTTTATGAAGTACTGAAGTTTCTTGATTCAGGTCATAATCGTCGTCTTCGTAATCACCTTCTTCATCCTCTTCCTCCTCGTAGTCATCCTCACAGACAGGCAAAGGCTCTGAGACATTATTTAAAGAAGTATCAGGACTTCCATTTTCAATCATGTTCTCAATAACATCTTCCGATACACTTACGGGAATTTCAATGAATTCAGCCACATGTGCAGGGATGACTTCTTTGTTTCCATCACTGGAAGCAGTAATTGTCTCTATTTCCAAATCTTTATTACCAGAATTCCCATTTTCAAATGAAATGAAAGTATCAGAACAATTTATTTCTTCCAAAGCAGGAATTTCCTGATCCTCTTGTTGAGCTGCAGCAATTTGCTGTCTTTGTATTTTCTTAACATGATTCTTTAAATGCTTCTGCATAAGTCCTCTGTTCCTAAATTTCCTACCACATATTACACATGAAAAACTACCCTTTTTCTGATGAGCCTGGGCATGCCTTACAATGTGACCACCTAGAAATTCCTTGTTACATAACATACACCGATGCCTTGGGACATTGTGATCTACTCTGGAAACATTAAGAGCCATAAGATTTTTCTTATTAATGTGACCCTTAGGTTGCACTCTAGATATATCATCAGGATCAAGCTCTCCAGTGCTCTGATCTGTAACAGAGTCCAGCCCTTCATCTAAACCTTGCTGTTGCACCGCCTTTTTTAGATTACCTGTAGAATTTTCCAGTGTACTTTCATTTAGAAATCTAACTGCTGATTTATCACTCAATAATGCTACACAGTTTTTCTTAATCATTACGAAGTTCCAGAATTCGGGATCAAAAAACAATCCCTTTTTCAAAATTGGAAGTAATTCAAAACGAACACGATTTTGAACACTACTTGTGCCTTCGTTATATTCCTCATCTGGACGTTTGTAAAGCTCTTCAACAGTATGATAAGCTTCCAAGGAGCGCTCAAGAAAAAATATTGAGAGTGCACAAATCCTGAGGATCTCCAAATCATTTGGCAAAAAATGTGCAATTGTTTTATAAATTAAACATTTAGTTTTGGGATCATCATGAAGATCGAGTTGTAGAGCACAACCACATATTTCAACACAAATTTGTAGGCCGTCTTCTTCAACCTGGAAAAGGAAAAATATTACTACTAAATACCTTTTTAAAAAAATACTATTTTACTTTTATTGTTTTAAAATACAACTCTCTAGGACGTCTGGGTGGCTCAGTCAGTTAAGCGTCTGCCTTCGGCTCAGGTCATGTTCTCAGGGTCTTGGGATCGAGTCCCACATCAGGCTCCTTGCTCAGAGGGGAGCCTGCTTCTCCCTCTGCCTGCTGCTCCCCCTGCTTGTGCTCTCTCTCTTTCTCTCTCTGACAAATACATACATAAAATCTTTAAAAAATAAATAAAATAAAATACAACTCTGAATTGAAAGCTGAATAAACATAGTATTCCAAATGTGCGGTTTTCTTCAACAGGTAGCCTTAACTCTTTTTTAGTAATAAGTAAATCTTTCTTTTTTAACTTGAGAATAATCTGGAAGAGATAGCATTTTAGCTTCCAATTTATTTAATTTTCAAATTTGACAGTTCCTAGTAACCACAGTACAAAATGCCTCATAACCTTATGGTGATTAAGGTTTCTTACAAATCCAGCCCCATTTATTTTAGGTACCAATCTCACATTCTGAGGCAGAAGGTTAAATTAAATGTATTTAAAGCATTTATCAATTTTAACATTTAACAATGTTAAAAAAGAACTATGTATTTTTTAAAAAACTGCTTACAGAAACTCATAAATCTGCACTAAAAATATTACTTAAGTAATATTATTTATCCAAGTAAGAGGAAAAGTGTGGCCCACATGAAGAAGGCAATTAGAATCTTTCCAAATCTAATAAAAATCAGAATAATGAAACTACTTGAAAATTATCTGAAAATTATTCAAGCTTTGAAACTTGTACTGATGACTCAAAGATAACTGCACTGGGGAATTTATTGTCCACCCACCTTAACTCAAATGATAAATAGATTTGGAATGATATAAATGCTTGTTTGAATAGAAAAAGACACAATAATAGTATGTCTTTAAAAGTCTGTGTGTGTGTGTGTACTGCCTGCATCTGATATGCTATCGATGACAGGAAGGATCACTACCTTGCCAGCCTCATGTCTTTATCGTCCCTTACGTGTTGTCTAACCCTACTTAATTACTTACAGTTTTACAAGCATACCTTAATTTTGCACAGCATAATCCCACTTTATCTAGCTAGTAAACTCCTATCTATTTCCTATGCATTCTTTGAGAATCAGTTTTACTCTGAAAGTTTTTCTCCCCATTCATTCTGGCCCCTAGCCCTGGGGCAAGATAAACACTCCCTATTCTTCCCACTGAGAATAGTTTATACTTACTTATAAAAAGCACATACATAATTGTTTTGTAACTGTGTATGCCCCTACCCCCTGACTTTGAATTCTTAAATCACAGGGACAGTATCTCATTTTTTGTATCCTCCTATCATAAGCAGAGAAGTTGGCATATAGTGGCCTTTGCAAATGTGAATGGGATCAGATCTATCCTACTGACTTTAACTTCCTCCTGTAAATCCATCATATCAGCTTGGAATCCTTTTCTGAATTCCTGTTTCTTATTTCTGATTATCTGTTACAATTAGTATTTCCACCTAGATTTTCCAGATATAGTGAATTCAAAATCCACTGAGAATTCAAGAGAATCCAAGAGAATTCCTTCTCTTTCTCCTAAGTTCTATCTACAACCTCTGTGTTAACTCATGAAATTATCATGTACCCAGTTGTCCAAGTCTAAAGATTTTAAGATCATCACAAAAGCTACTTTCTTAACTGAAATCCTTCAACAATTCCAGTATATTTATAGAGCGAAGTTCTAATTTTTAGTGCAGCATGCAAGCCCCTTAAGGATTTCCAACAACCACCCCCCACTCTGTAACTTCCTGCAGTCTCTTCAATTAGCTTCATCTCCCACATACCTCCCCATATTTCTCCTACCCTATTAATGCTGACGGACAGTTGTGAGAAAAACAAGTAATATAGTGAGGCAAAAATGCTCTGTAAACTACAAAATCCTCTACATGTTAGTATTATCCTCCTCTTTCATTCAAAACCCAGCTTAAAGCATCTTCCTCTGTGAAGCTTTTTTAGATATGCTATCTGTAATGTCTCATTCTTCTGAACAGCATTGTTTGTGCTGCTTTTCACAGTACTGGGGCACATAAACGATCTACTCCATCAGTAAAGATATTTTTTAGTAGAGTATAAATAGTTAAGCACATTTTTAATATTTATTTCATCTTTGAATTTTCCTCTTATATTCTCAGGTTGACTAGATGTGAAAATAAGAAAGCTTTATGATAACAGTGTGAACTTCACCTATATTGTAAACTTTTTATAACAAAAATCTTTCATCTTGTGGTGCAAATAAGAATCCTATGTAAAAAATATATACGGATACTTTTTTTTTTAAGTTTTACAGGTGATTCTGATGCACTTCAAATGTTGAAAAGGATTCTACAGCATAGTTTGTTTCTTTTTCCCTTTTTGATGGGGGTAGAGGTTAACTTTGACAATGCATTTGAATGACATTTCACTATTTAAAAATGAAGGTATGAATGCAGTTAGTAAAATAAATAGGAAATTTATAAAATTCTGAATACAACGCTGCTAACTTTATATCATAGGGATATAATCACTAACATGGTCATATATCTAATGAGTGACATGATGTGATAAATGCATAAATATATAAGAAAAATTAAAATATATTATTTAATGGATGTCTCCTGTATATTTAAAAGTAACCCACATAAAGATTCAGCTAAATGGAACTACCTAAAGTGTAGGGTAGCTTTATCTTTCTTATTTTTGTATTCAAAGTTCTGTTAATATTTGAGGGGAAAACGTTAAAGGATCTGCAGGATCCCATTTCATGTCTATGTAAGACACTTATGTAGAACTGTAACCACTTTTAAGTGACCCATGAAAAACTTACTTCAGAACTATTTTTAAAAACAGGTAATGGATTTCACTATTACTTTAAATAAATACTCTAAAAATTTGTCCAGTTTCAAAAATGCCTCAAAATTCATCGTTCCTTTTTACCTGAACACCAGACTTAAAACTATGAACTATATTTTTCTGTGAAAGTGAGCAGTATTACCTATGGATATACAAAATTCATTTGCAAATAAGATTCTACAAACAGGAGTTAGGATAGTGTTAAATGTGACAAGCTTATTAAATTTTAAGTAACACCAAATTGGCAGTTTTTCTGTCTTTTTTCAGTAATTTTCACTTACGTATACCCTTAGTACCATGTTGGGAGTTTGAGGTTGGTGGGGAGGGAAAGATGTAATATATGGAGAATGTGGCCTTAAAATCCTCCTTCCCTTCAAATAAATTTTATCATAAAAGATTCAAGTTTTGGTGAACTGTCATTTAAACTTCATTTAAAATTAAGGGATAAAGATATCCTATTTACCTCATCTTTAATGATTTTCATGAAAGGAAATATGACTCTCACATTAGTTGCTGTTCTTAAAAGCTGGTAGCATTGATCTACAAAAACTTGTTTTGAAGGATTAGACTTAAGCTGAAGTTTACTCCATATGAAAATCAACTCCCTGTAAATGAGAAAAAAAGAGAAATATCAAAAATACAGTTTATTCAAATACAGATATTAGCTGTCTTTTGCTGATTCTTTAATACCCTGGCTGGGGTGTATACAAAGTGGGCGTAAATGGGTATTATGTTAACCTCCAAGCTACTTCTGCTACCTGTGTGGGACTGACAGAAGCTGGAGAGAAAAGAGAGATCAGAAACTAATCTTACAGTGGTAAGGAATGAATTCCAATCATATGCTGACAAACCTAGGCACCTCTAGTACATGATAACAAATTCGAATCCCTATGTACCAATATTAATGATATTACTTTAAAAAAAATAAACTTTGGTCTTTAATACCTACTTGTAAATTTAGAAATCAGTTTTGTACACTTTCTGCAAAGAAAACATTTATTATTTTTTCATTTTCAATCTAGATACCCAAAGTACTATAGATTAAAAGTGTAAGATATAATACGGATTCTGAAATTTTATATTTAAGATCATCTGCTCATTCATTAAGATGGAGTACTTTTAAACAGATAAGCTATGGACCATTTAAAGTATTTCACAGGTAGATTCTTTTCTAAAATATGGCTAATGTTGTTAGATAGACAAGGGAGGAGCAGGGGGTTTTGAGACAAAGGAAATCATAAGATATAACTGATATATTTAGATATCATATGCTAGTAAATTATAACTCTTTAAAATGTGTCAAGTGACATAAAGCACCATAATCTAAAAAGTATTAAAATAATTGATGAATTTTTTTTAAGTGATTGACTGAGTATGTACTTTGAGCCCAACACATACGGCTATTAAGTCTAAGGACAGCTTGACTAATATCATGAAGGTGCACATAGTCTACTTAGAGACAATACAGAAAACACAAAAGAGAAAATGACAGCAAGCAACATAGAAGAAATAAAACCAAAATTCTACTTCCATTTCCTTCTAGCTGTGTGTGGGTGTTCATAAGTTTCAATCCACAACCCCACTTTTTTTGCATACATAAAAGCTCACCAGGTTTCACACCTTGCTCCCAAATCTCTAGCTCTGACTTCTTTCCAATTTCTATGCCTGGATATTTCAATTTAGATTGCTGTCTATCACCAGAATCCACTTAGAACAAATAACTCTTGCAAAACTGACTGTCTTTTCCTAGGTCAGTCAATGACACTAAACATTCCTCCAACCTGTTTGGTTGTAATCTGTTTATTTCCCACAGCCTATGTATTTCAATTATATTTTTGCCCACAACCATACCATGCTTTCTCAGTGCTACTACGTTAAGTCCTCTAATCTTACATATGTACTTCTACAGGGGTTGCTAAACTGTCTGTTTCCAGACTTTCAAATCATTTCATTCAGTATATTTCATATGTTACATAGTATTAATAGCAACAAAAACATGGGTTTTGGGGTCAGAAGGATAGGATTTTAATCCTGTGCACTCTTCGAGGTTAATTTAGTTAATGTGCTTTGTTTATTCTCATTTTGTTTATGCTAATTTACGGTACTTGGAAAGTACCTCATTTCTAAGATGAGCTTATTATCAAGTACCTTCTTCATGAATGCCTTCATGAATACCCCAAACTAAAGTGATAACTACTTCAGAACAGATCTTATCCCTCTTGTTGATTTCATGCCTTTCAAATATTTCCTTGTTGATATTTTCTAATTTTGTAGGTCCTGTCCCCCTAACTATTACTACATTGTAAATCTCAGTGACACATTATATAGGTGAAATAGTGGCAAGAAGAACATGAGACTGAGAATAAGAGATTTCTCAATAGGTGTGATATTACCGAGTTCACAGTGAGCCACCTTTCTCTGGAAGTAGCTCTACTACACAAGGTTGGAACCCCAATGGCCATGTTTCCTATATGAACCTCCTCACCATCCTTAAGATATTAAGTCAGGGGTATAAAACTGACCCCAGTTAGGCCAGAGTCCCTGGAATGTTCTCAACTCTAAACTATGAAGGCTGGAGACTGTTGACATTCCTTCTATCTGCAACAGGAGAGAGTGAAGTCAACTGGCAGAAAAGAGAAATCAGTGTCCCTGGTAGCAGTTTTATTTGGGTGCCTACTATATCCCTGTCCCCTTTTTTTTTGTCATACCCCAGTATTTTTTCCATGCACAATACCTTTTCCCTAAACTAATTAGACATAGGGTGCTACCACTTGCAAACTGACTAGTATAAATCCCAATTCCATTTTGTTACTACCTATGTGGCTTTTCTCTTTTATCCAGTTTTCTTATACATAAAAAGAATTGAGAGAGGTAAGTGAAAACACCTAGGTGAAATATCTAGTATATACCAATGTTTAATAAATCACTAATTTCCTATATTCTTTATCTTTATAGTCTTAACAGTACCAAGCAGTGAGATTTATTCAATAAATATTTGGTAGTTAATAAACAGGTAAAAAAAAAAAGTATTCCTAAATGCGAAGACATTTAGAAGGAGTCTCTTGAGGAAATATATTAAGGGAAATCGTAGACACAGAATGATATAAAGATGATGGTGGACATTCTGAATAAGGGGTATTTTATGAACAAAGGGATGAGGTAGAAGGCAAGCAGATTAACTGTTTAAGAAGACATGCCATATCTGCAACAGATTTAAAGAGAAAAAAAATGATAGTTGGAAGTTATGGGAGAGTATTTCACTGCATTCAATTTTACACAGATGAATGTTTAACATATTAGAAATGTATATATTTATTCTCCAACTTGCTCCAAAAAATAAGTTGAGACTCCTAAGACTCCTTAGAATACGGTATTATTATTTTTCTTTTTTGAAGAGAGAGATCTTATTTCCCTTTGTTTCTCTTAATTCAGGATGAAACTTGGTGAAAAAAATGCAATCTCAACATCCTGATAAATTTACCAGAAAAGGGCTACCAATATGGATTTTAGCTTTCTAGCAAGCAAAGGAGAAATCTCAGGATATGGTTATGAAGCTCCATTTTGACTGAATTTACAAAAGGGTTCTAAGGTTTTACTTATACAATGGATTTTGATTGTATAAACACCCTGAAAACCAGTGATAGTCGTCTTTGCTTATGTGCAAGCACTGTTTATGAAGCTTTACATTTTCTTTTCAAACAGAGGGTCCTTCCAAAAACACAGCACCTGTATGGTGTATAAACACATTTCCCAGGTAGCTAACTACTAATAAAATCATCAAGTTGCAGAGAGTGCAAGCTATAACAGGATCTACAGCCATCCTTACAACATAGATTTATATATATATATATATATGTATGTATTTGATCTATGTATAGTAAGTAGTATTTAATAGCAGAGGCTGTGAGTCAGGCTGCCTGGGTATGAATCCTGGCTTCATTATTTACTAGTTGCATGGTTTAGGCATAATAGTATCTATCCCGTAAGATTACTGGAATAAATAAGAGAATGCATATATAAAGTATAGACTATAGAAAGCACTCAGTAGATATTAGTAGCTGCTATTATTATTACTAGTAGTTGTTGTTAGCAATGGTTGAGAGAAATAGGGTTGGTAACTTGCTCCACTGGCTTCAGATAGAGCAAAACTGAACTGTGGATCAGGTTCTGTCCACAGAGAAGGGAGATGAGGTTAAACTGGTTCACAGGGAAGGACAAAATGAAACAGACAACACAGATCTTATAGGCTGGAAAGAATCCTGCTCTTCAATTACGGTGAAAATCAGTATTTAGAAGCAAGAAAAAAGGATCCCAGCAATTCAGAAATATAGAGAGGTAGAAGAAATAAGAGAGCAGGCAATCAGAACTCCACCTACCCAGAAGGAGGGATAAAGAACAATTAGGCAGCTGGGAGTTGCATACCCAGCTTCTATTCTTAGAGGGTGCCAGTGGCTGGGGGCAGGAAAGATAGACACTCTTCTATTTTTAAGGTCCCTCCCTAAAGAGTTAAATGGTTAGCCAAAAGAAGAAAACAGAATATCTTCTTGGTCTTTTTGTTTGTTTGTTTATACGTGAGATTCCAATTTACTTATGAGTATATTAAAATGAAAAGGCTAAAGATATCCTGTTTAAATAGCTTAATATAGCAGAAGTCAGAACATTTCTTTCGTCCTTTCCCCATAGGAAAAGATCTACTATAATAGTCATGACTATATTCTGTTTCTAACTACATATCAAGAAATGGTAATACTTTAGGGGCACCTTGGGTGGCTCAGTCGGTTAAGCACGCAACTCTTGATTTTGACCCAGGTCATGATTTCAGGGTTGTGAGATTGAGGCATGGGTTGGTGTGGAGCCTGCTTGAGATTCTCTCTCTCCCTCTCCTTCTGCCCCTCCCACCTCCCCCTACTCTTGAAAAAAAAAAAAAGAAATAATATTTTAAAAACTATTTAAAATTTTATGTCTTACCACTGTCTCCTGATCCCCTCTATTTGAAATTCCAATTTACATGGTAAACTTTTTAATACAGATTTGCATAATCTAACTAAAAGTATACTCCTTTAGAAGCCCACTAGTTTCTAGACCCAGCTCTGCTAATTAGCTATTTGACTGTATCTCTGAGTCTGAAGATTTTAATCTATAAAAAAAGAATATTAAATCATTAAATCCGTCTTCAAGCTGCTGTTTTAAATAAAGAATTTAGGCCCAAGATGGCAACATAGGAAGACCCTGAACTCAGCTTCTCCAGGGACACACCAAATCTGTAACCATTTATCGAGCAGTTCCTCCTGAAGAACTGAGGACTGACTGAACAACTTCTGCACAACAAAAGATAGGAGACCACATAGAGAACAGCAAGAAAGATGGAGACACGGTAATGAAGGGAGCCCCCACTCCCAACACTGTGCACTGCAGTGGGGAGGGGTAGTACTGAGAGTCTGTGAGCAGATTCATCTGTCCTGAGGCGTGCACACATACACAAACACACACACACACCCATGCGCGGACACAAAGCTGCAGTTTAAAAGGCCAACTAGAATATAAGGAATCTGGCCCTAGAACTCTGCCAAACGTCAGGGAGACTGCTGGAACTCTCTTTCTAAGTCAGTGGGGCTGTCAAGCACCACAGTTTACATTCCCCATCCACCTTGACAGCATGGATAGGAGCATGGTCCGGGCACCGTACCGCCTCAGTGATCCCTGGTCCTCTACCCATACCAGCCCCAACTGTCCCACTGGCAGCCCCTGTGTAGTGCCCACCAGGACACCTGTAGTCAGTGTTCACTATAGCTCCAGACTACCTGACAAGGTAACACAGGTACAAAGCACCCTGAAATACTCCAGGCCCACACCACTTCAGCTCCAGACAACTTGCCAGAGCACCCCTGGAGCAGAGCATCCCAGGGCACCATAGTCCATACCTGCTTCTGCTCCAGCTGCCCCATGAGGGCAACCCCCTACACAGAGTATCCCAGGACACCCCAGCCTGTACCCACTTTACCATCTGCCGTCACCCTCAACACAGGAGAGCCCTGGGACCAGCCTGCACCCACTTCAGCTTCAGCTGTTCTGTGCCAATGTACCTTCTGTGCAGAGAATCCTAGCACCACCCCAGCCTACATCCATTTCAGCTCTGGTCTTCCCAATAGTGTGGCCCCAGTACACAGTGGGCCAGCCACAGCTTGAGCTAGCTAGCCAAAGTCACCAGGCACACACAATTTACACTGGAGATGACCATACACAAGATCATTCCTTCAAGTGCAGAAGCGGCTGTTCCACTTAATTCATAGAAACAAAAACAGAAAGTCAAGCAAATGAGGACACAGAGAAATATGCTCCAAATGAAAGAACAAGGAAAAAAAAAACTCAGAAAAAGAACTAAATGAATCAGGTAAGTGATCCACCTGATAAAGAGTTCAAAGTAATGGTCATAAATATGCTCACCAGACTGAGAGAAGAGTGGATGAACTCAGTGAGAATTTCATCAAAGATATAGAAAATATAAAAAAGAACCACCAGAGTTGACAAGTGCAAAAATTGAAGTGAAAAATACATTAAAAGGAACCAACAGATGAGTGAATGCAGAACTGATCAGCGGTCTGAAAGGGTAATGGAAAGCACCCTAGCTGAACAGCAAAAAGAAAAAAGAATTTTAAAAAACGAGTATGGGTTAAGGGATTTCTAAGATAACACCAAGCAAACAAACATTTACATTATAGGGGTCCTAGAAGGAGGAGAGAGAGAAAGGGGCAGAGAACTTACATGAAGAAATAATAGCTGACAACATCCAGGTTCAGGAGGCACAGAGAGTTTGAAACAAGATGAACCCACAGAGGTCCACACCACTACACATAATAATTAAAATGTCAAAGAGGAAAGATAAAAACATACATGTCCTTACCCAGAACCATGCAATTAAAAGCTCTGAGAGTAGGCATGAAAACCTGCATTAAATAACAAGCCCTGTGTGTGACTGACTTCATGCTTCCTAAAGCTTTTAAAGAGCTACTTGATACTAGAATGACAGATTTTAAATTCCTTAAGGCTGCCTAATGCATGTAACAATTTATAATTGTGTGTGTAGATGGTGGGGTTGAGGAGCGATGGATGGGGTAGAAGAGCGCTAAAGTATGATAGACCTAACAGTCTGGGAACTAGTTATGAAAATGACAGTTTTCTTGAGGTAGAGAGTGTGGCTATCAGGACAGCAGAGAGAAGATATATGAACAAGCACTGGTGACCGAAATGTCTTGTTTATGATGCTTGGTGGCTGTGGTCCACTACCTAAGTCCCTCTGTGAAATAAACCCTGTTATGGTGATAGTTTTCAAAAACTATTATGAGAAATAAACTAGACTGAAGCATATAATGTAAAACATGTGTTTAAATTTGACCGATTCCTAAAAGATAAAAATTGCTGTTTTTAGGAGTGTGGTATCCTTTTAAAGCCCAAATATCTCTTGACTCACTATTCTGGATAATTTTTATCACTACCAATCACTCTCTAACATATAACTTTAACTTAACAAGCTGTAACCACCAGGTTAAACAATTTTAAAAAACTAGCAGTTTATTTTATTTCTTATATTTCTTATCTTCAGGGACATTAGTCATGGAATTTCTCTCTTCAGAAAAATAAACTTTAAATATAGACAATATATAGTGAAGGCTTTCTACTCTATTAAAACTTGCCACTGATGTTAAGCTTATCTATTAAAGAGAAAGTTTGTGAAAAATACATATTTCAGAATTTAAAATTGAAAAGTATTGATTAAAAATGCCTACACCTGGGGTGCCTGGGTGGCTCAGTAAGGGTCTGACTCTTGATTTTGGCTCAGGTCATGATCTCAGGGCTGTGAGACGAAAACTACAAAACTAATGAATGAAATCAAAGAACTAAATAAATGGAGAGATATTCCATGTTTCCATGGATAGGAAAACTTAATGTTGTCATGATGTCAGTTCTTCCCAACTTGATCTACAAATTCAATGCAATCCCAATCAAAACCCCACGAGGTTATTTTATGGGTATCAACAAATTGATTCTAAGGTTTATATTGAGGCAAAAGACCAAGAATAGCCAATAGAATACCGAAGAACAAAGTTGGAGGACTGATGAGACCCCACTTTGAGACGTATTTATAAAGTTAAAGTAATAAAGATAATGTTGTGTTGGTGAAAAAAAAGACAAATATATCAAGAGGACAGAACAGAGCCCAGAAATAGACCCACATAAATATAGTCAACTGATCTTTGATAAAGGAGCCAAGGCAATACAATGGAGTAAAGACAGTCTCATCAACAAATGGTGCTGGAACAACTGGACATCCACATGCAAAAAAAAAAAAAAAAAATTGAATCTAGATACACACATTATACCTTTCACAAAGATTAACTCAAAATGGATCACAGACCTAAATATAAAATGCAAAACTATAAAACTCCTAGAAGATAACATAGGAGAACACCTAGATGATCCTGGATATGGTGATGTCTTTTTAAAACACCATAATCATGATCCATGAAAGAAATAATTGATAAGCTAGACTTTGTTTAAAAATTAAAAACTCTGCTCTGTAAAAGACAGTATCAAGAGAATTCAAAGACAAACAATAGATTGGGAGAAAATATCTGTAAAAGACGCATCTGATAAAGGGCTACTATACATAATATACAAAGACCTTTCAAAACTCAACAGAAAGAAAACTAATAATCTGATTTAAAATGGGCCAAAAAACTTAACCAACACCTCACCAAAGAAGATATAAAAACAAGCATATGAAAAGATGCTCCACATCACACGTTATCAGGGAAATGCAAATTAAAACAGGATACCACTACACACCTATTAGAATGGCCAAATTATGAACACTGACAACAGCAAATGCTGGTGAGGATGAACACAAGAACTCTCATACATTGCTGGTGGGAATAAAAAACGGTACAGCCACTTCGGAAGACAAGTCTGGCAGTTTCTTACAAAACTAAACCTACTCTTACCATACATTTCAGTAATCGTGCTCCTTGGTATTTACCCAAAGGATTTGAAAACATGTCCACCCAAAAACCTGCACAAGGATGTTCACAGCAGCATTATTCGTAGTTGCCAAAACTTGGAAGCAACCAAGATGTCCTTCAGTAGTTGAATGTATAAATAAACTGGTACATCCAGACAATGGAATATTATTCAACACTAAAAAGAAATGAGCTATCAAGCTACAAAAAGACATGGTGGAACCTTAAATGCATATTACTAAGTGAAAAAAGCCAATCTGAAAAGGCTATACACTGTATAATTCCAACTACATGATACTGTGGAAAAGGCAAAACAATGACAATAGCAAAAAGGTCAGTAGTTTCTAGAGGTGAGGGAGAGGATAGGGAGATAAGAATTGAATAGGTGGAGGGGTGCCTGGGTGGCTCAGTTCTTAAGCGTCTGCCTTCGGCTCAGGTCATGATCCCAGGGTCCTGGGATCAAGTCCCGCATCGGGCTCCCCACTCAGCGGGAAGCCTGCTTCTCTCTCTCTCACTCCCCCTGCTTGTGTTCCCTCTCTCGCTGTGTCTCTCTCTGTCAAATAAATAAATAAAAATAAAAAAAAAAAAAAAGAGAATTGAATAGGTGGAGCACAGAGGACTTTTGGGGTAGTGAAAATACTCTGTATGATATTACAATGATGTATTCCATTATACATTTATCCAAACCCACAGATTATGTAACACCAACGGTGAACCCTAAGATAAACTATGGACTTTGGGTGGTTATGATATACCACTTAGGTTCATCCTTGGTTTTAAAAAAAAAAAAATTACCGTTCTGTTGAGTAATGTTTTTTGTTTTGTTTTTGAGTACTGCTGATAATGGGGGAAGCTATGCATGTATGGGGATGGGGATATAATGGGAAATGTCTGTACTTCCCTCTCAATCTTGCTGTAAACCTAAAACGGCTCTAAAAAATAAAGTCTTAAAAAACTAACACTCCACATTTAATTTAAAATACAATTGTTTCATTATAATACATACTTTAAACATTTACACTGTCAATTACTGGTACATGGTTATTGACTTTTTTTTACATCTTACAACTGACTGTTGTTTCTTGCACAATAAATTTTTAAAAAGCGACTTAACATTTTCACATAACTTTTTGAAAAACAAAGTCCAGACTCTGCTGACCAATTCTCCTTCTGTTCCCATCTTATCAGTTTCTGTATTGAGAACACTTACCAGATACAGTACATATCTCCATTCTGGAGCTGTGGAATAAGAAAGGATTCACAGAGTTGTAGGGCTAACATAGTCTTGCCTTCTTTTTCAGTGTTACAGATGATATCAATTCCACTCTTACAATCAGTTTTCAATAAATGCTATAAAAGGAAAAGAAAAATCAGTCCGTATCATTAAAAATACCTAAAAAGCTAATCGCATTAAATGTGTAGAGTTAACATTCAGGAAAAAAATTAGATTTCTTGTTTTCTTCTACAAAGACAATGATGAATTACACAGAAATATTTCCATAGTTTCACTATATAAAACCTACAGTTTTATGACTACTTTTAATCTCATTAATGTCCACACCTTGTAGATACATAGGTCCTATTAGGAAAAGATTAATTCTTTCATCTTAAAAAAAAAAAGCAAAATAACAAACATGAGCATTTAATTTCTTAGTATTTTATTTAAAAGGCAAAAAAAGTGCTAAATAATTAATTGAAATTTTTATTTAAAATGCTTCTCAGTTTTTATTTAACCTCTTATCTGTCACAAGAAACTCAAGATGAATAATGCTATTGATGAATGTTTTGTTAATTTCATCATTTGTTAGTATCAGATTGTCTAATTGAACAGGAGCTTAAAGAATGGTGCCAATGAGAACACATCTAGATAATGTAATCTTAAAACTTTTGGTGTTACAGTAAAAGGACTTTAACAAGAATGGGCAACTTTTTTTATTTTTGGTAAGGTTAAAATAGTAATAGGCAAACATAATCTCAAACAGTACCTCCTGGAATAGCTGATCTTCTACAGGTGACATAAACAGACATGTGAAGAGTGCTTGATGGAAGTACAAGTCTTTGCTGATTTCTGGGTGATTTATACAAGATTTAATAAGAGCCATTGCTTCAGGTATGCGTTCACAAGCAATTAGGTATCTGGCACGCAGTTCAAAGAACAGTGGATTTTCAGAACTTAAATATTTGTTCACTACATTAAAAAGAAAACAGATTCTTATTACTCTTAAGAAAAGATTCTCAAAGTTGTTTGAAACTTTACCACTAAACTTGTGGTACACCTAAGGAGATTAAGTAGTTATTAAATAGCATTTTCCTTAGTAGGAGTTTATTTGTCAAAGAATACTCAGTTATATGATTGGAAAAATGGAAATAAGAGCAACACCAAAACAGTGCTCAAGAACTATTGACTTCTTTTCAGTCTAAAAAGTGAAAAATAATTTAAAAAGAAAATAAAATGAAATATTCTCTTTCCAGTTCACTAATATGGTAAAATGTTTCAGATAACATGGGGTCTGGAATTTCTATGTACTTTATTTTTTTACTGTCCAATCTTTTCATTACTATAGGATTAAAAGGCTGACTCCTAATTTGTCATTAAAACCACATTGATTTAGATTAATTATAGAGAAAGTAATTTGAATTAATGAAAATGTAATATATTTTATTACTTTTTAACAAAAAATTAAGTTGAAAGTAGTGCCAAATAGGACTGCTTATTAATATATGCTCATGTGTCACTAAGAATAATTACTAATACTTGTTTTTACACAATTTAAAAATATATAAATACCTTTTATCTACATAAGTTTATTTAGACCTAACAACAACCTATGACAGGTATCATAGTACTTCTTTCACAGATCACAAAACTGAGTCTCAGAGAGGTCAAATGACTTGCCCAAGGACAAAGAATAAGTGGTAGAACACGAACAGGGACCCATATTTCAAATCCAAAGTGTTTTCATTAGTTGTGTATGTTTAATCAGTAGCTCCTAAAATGCCTACGAGTGATGTTTTATTTGGGCTTCAACATTTGCCTTGCAGTTCTGTTTTACTGTATACGATAAGCAGACAGTGATTTGTATAGTTAATGCAAAGATAAACTTCAGACAGGTCTTTACCCTAAAAGTCACCAACTGGAGGAGAGTCATCCATATTAATCAGACTCTAGAGCAGCTTTTCCCAAAGTGAGGTATGCTAGTGGAATATGAAAGGAGTATGTACATAAGGACTAGAGAAAGAGAGAGAGAGATGCCATCAGCCCTCATACCAACCAACAACGGATTTGTTCTAGCTCCTAGTCAGAGAAGCTTCAAAGCTCCCCTAAAAGTCCAAACTTTCTTCTCCTCTGTTCTCACTCCTTTTGAAACTCTTTGTCTCGCTCCTGTCTGCTCTGGCCACATTCCCCAGTCTCCTCAGAGTTTTCTTCAGTTTGTCACCCTTGCCTTCCCGATATGGACTCTTTACTTTTCCTCAATGATCCAACTCTTTCTCTTCAGTTCCAACTTCCTCCCTCTTCAGTTTTTATTCCTTTCTGACACCCTCACATCAACTTCCAGGCCCCTTTGTATCCCCTGGGTGTTTACCACTAAACCACTGTGATATAGTCCCTAGCCTTCTCATCCTACCACTTTGCACTACTTCTCCTGGTCTTCTCTATTTTCTTCATCTTCTCTCACACCTCTGTCACAGTCCTCCACATTTGTATCTGGGGTTGGCTTACTCTTATGCTGGAGAAGCATAGCCCCTTCTCCACTCAGCTGTACTCAAAGCCCACCCGCAACCCTTAACATGAGACAAATGGAAAGATCCTAACCTGCTCAGCATAATACATGGTATGAAGTGTCCTCACCAGACCAAGGTCTGAATGGTTCCAAGGCTAGGAAGTCTTGTCTTTTCCCTCTGGCCATCTTAGAATTGCACTTCACGGGCTCTCCATGCTTTCAAATGTTTTCCATACTTTTTTGCTTATACTACTGCTGAGTTACATTCTAAGTTTAATGATCCAAAATGTTCTGGGGCTCAGGAATAATAGGACAAATATTTTTTAAAAGAATTAACTAGAAGTAATTGACAGAGCCTTTTGCCTCAAAAGGAAATTTTGGCCCACAGGAAACACTGTGGATCTAGGTTGAAGAGGAAGTAATGTCAAAGAAGTACACAGGGCATTAAGGGGAATATCTATTAATGGATGAAGTTTGGGAAATACTGCTCCAGAGTATTTGGAATTGAAATTTACTTATTCATTCGACTAGTCACTCATTCATTTAACACATTCATCATGTGGTCATTCATTCCACTTATACTTATATTGAGCACCTACTCTGTCCTAGGCACTGGGCTGGGTATAGGATATACAGCAGTGGTGATAAAAACTGGCAGAGTTCCAGCCCTCACAGAGTTTCCTGTATAAGGGAGATTCCATGTGCTTAAGCAGGGCATTTTTTTTAAGGGTGTTTGTTCCTACTTAAATAGATTTTTAAAACATAACAAGTGGCGAAAACAAACTCTCTGTAAGTAACGTCTGGATAGTAAAAGTGTTAACACTCTGAATTCCCATTAGAATAAATGGGAAATTACTGGAAATAAATGTACCTAGTCTGGTGTCAAAAGTCATTCTTGGGCCAGGTTAGTATAACAATTTAAACACACTTCATGTGAAAATACATTACTCTTATTCAGTATTAAAAGATAAAGAAAAATCACTATTACTGCTCTAATTAGAAATGAAATTGCGCTTGCTTCTCACAAATGTTGGTTTTGATTTTGAGTCTCCTGAAGTACCTATCTCCTGAGATGCTGGCTGGGCTTTAAGAACAGCTTGCAACACTGGATCTTCCCATGGGCCACCATCTCTAATGATTCGAGTCACCAGTTCCAGATTCACATTTCCATATCTGCGGAGGTGATTCTGGCATTCCTAGGAGAGAAAAATCATTTTGGCTTTGTGAATTTAAAGGGGTTAAAAACTAAACTTGATCATCCTTGTCAATAAAATGACTGGTGGTCAATGAGGCAGCTATTAAATTATAAAAGAGAAAGGGTTGCTACAGTAACCTAAGTAGGGTGTCAAAACCCCATCAGTACACAAATAGGCTTTAATGCCAGAGGTTACAGAGTTTTTACATAATTGGACTTAGAAAATCCAATTATAATAGGGATGAAGTGTAACCCAAGGGAAAAACTTAAGGGATGCATCATTTCTAGGAAAAGAACCAGGTTGCAAAACCTAAGGGAAAAACTTACAGGATGCATCATTTCTAGGAAAAGAACCAGGTTGCAAAAATGTAAAACTTAAATGTTGAGTTAAATTTATTTGAGGGCTCATAAAACTTCTGTTAACAATGGCAAGCAAGAGCCTGACTATAAAAAGGAGGTAGAGGGGTTCCTGTGCAATACAGACTGTGGTTGGCAGAAAGACACAGGTCCCTTGCTCTGATCCCAAGTGTATACTCTTAGGTTAGGCTGGAAGGCTGGAAGATGGAAATTCTATTGCATTTTATTGTGTTAGCAGATTTGTAGTCTTGGGATGAAGAAATGGCAGACTGAAGGAATGAATCCAACCTATAATACGAAAACTTTGCATTCGTTTTGAGATAAAGATGTACTGATAAGTTGGGCATTAACTGATAATTTGTCTAGGCATTTTCTGGGATTTTTTTTAAAGATGTTTGAAATGTTTTTTAGAGAATCTGTTATATTAGACTCATGATAATAATATGAATTATGTAACAAGTTGTTTGTAAACAAATCTTAATATTTAGGAGAACTTGGCCGGCTGAATTTAAAAATATTATTTATTAGATTTAGATTTATAAAATTTAATTGTTTGATTATGCTTTTTTTAATTCATTATACACCTTGGTTGTTGTTTTGAAAATGATTCCAGGAATTTAATTCAATAATTTTAAAAGATTAACTGAAGGCCTAGTGAAGAGTATGACTAGATATATTTTTTTAAATGCATACACTGAGCTTACAGCCTTAAGAAAAAAATTAGATATTGAAATTGGCAATCTTAAAAATTTGAATAAATTGCACATCAATTAAAACACAAACAATAGCCAAAATTTCTTTCTGTGCTCAAAAAATCCCTCAGACATTAAAAACATAGTAACAGTTGCAAAGCAAAGCTTCAGTATAAAACAATACATTATTACAAATCTTACTTATGACATAAATCATCAGGCTACATATTCCAAGTGGCAATAAACACTTTGCTTTTATATGCCATGTTCTTTCATCATTTGAATGTTAAAAGTGGTTATTGATATGCCACTTTTTATTCCTTGTTAAACTACATAAAAAGAGGTTTTATTTGTTTTGTAAGAGAACAAGGCAGTAGAAGTATCAAGTTTTAAGATAAAGAATCATTTAGTCAAAGAAGTCAAAGGATCATTAAGTCATAACATGAAAATAGTATCTTCTAAAAGTTAGAGTATTCCCAAATTAAAATGAGCAAGCAAGCAAACAAACAAAAACTATATAAGTAATGGGCAAGTTACTTAACCTCTCTGTGCTCCTTCAGTTAACTCATCTGCAGAATAGATACTAAAAACACCTATTTCACAGGATTGTTGTGAGGTTTAAATATACAGTATTGAAAAGTGCTTAGTACAGTGCCTGGCACATAGTAAGCACTTAATATTTCTTCTAGTATTTTTAACAATTTGGATAAATAAGTTTATCTTAGCATACCCAAATGCCTTAGCATAAAATTAATTTCTATATTTCCATGTGTCAGCATGTTATAGCATTCATAAAAATAAGGTATAAAGTTTTTGATCAGCCACGATATGTTTTAAACACATGGAACATAGTAACAATCTGTGGTAACAATTTATGATTTAAAACAATCATCAATTTCAAACCTAAAGGTAAACAAACTTCTAAATTACTCTAGACACACATACTGCTACCCCTAAAATTCAACTACTATAAACTGGCTTTTGGTCCAATAAAAGCACAAGAGATAAGGTAAGCTGGTTGCTAGCCCCTGAATCACTGGTGAGCTTTAGTTTTGCTGCTGAGCTCTTGGACAACCCATCTTTCTAGCTGTCTTACAGTAGGTAAGGTACCATCACACAGCCATTAGCATTGTGGGACCTATAACTGGACTTAGGCCTAAGTCAAGATATGGTGCAATAGGTCTATTGCTAATTTCCTAAATATAGCTGAAAAGTAAGAAATACTTGGAGGTCTTGTTAAAAAACAGATTCCCAGGCACCAATTCAAACATACTAAATCAAAATTTCTAGAGGAAAGCCCTGATAAACTGTGTATTTAATAACCCCCACCCCACAGTCAACTTTGGCATACTTTTTAATTGTACCTTCTATATTTAAAGTGTACTTTCATAAATGCTAATACTAGAAATTATATACTTGTACTCCTATCAACCCTTCTATTAAAAATTAGTCAATTAGCTTAAGTTCATTTTTCTAAGATAAAGATTATAAGGTAGAGTTTTGTTTTTTTTGTGTATGTGCACTTCTTGAATCAAGTGCACCATATTTTGGAGACCACTTTTATGGGAAATAGCTCTGGACAGGAAATAGAGATGAAATGAAGATTTCATTTTGGTCTATTTAAAAAGACATGGGATGAAAGAGAACAAGTCTGTCTGTAAATATCTTTTGGCTCCCCACTCCTATGGATGATATGCAATTTAAAAGACTTGAAAGTGAAAAAGGAAGCACTTAAACCACTGTAGAATTCACAACTTATCTTTCTTATATATGCATATTATATATTTTTTAGAATGTTTACTTAATTAAAAACCTGGACCTATATATTAACTTAATCTTTAATTAAGTCATGTCTACTATAGTTGATACCCACCACACTATGCTAAACATAATTCCCTCAGAAATTTCCATTCAACCTTGTGTTTCTGCCAAAGGTAGAGAGAAAACACAACTCCTTCCCTCACTCTTCTTTCAGAATCTATTGTGGTATGGGCTTAATGTTTTGTTCAGAAGAATTTTCTTCCCTGAACCTGTTGCCTCTTTAGAACTGGCACCTATAACATGTCTGCAAAACTGCCGACCAGTTTTCTGGCCATTCTATATACTTCTTTGACAGCTTATAGAATGAAATTTTTTTTTAAGATTTTATTTATTTATTTGACAGAGACAAAGCGAGAGAGGGAACACAAGCAGGGGGAGTGGGAGAGGAAGAAGCAAGCTTCCCCCTGAGCAGGGAGCCCAATGTGGGGCTCGATCCCAGGACCCTGGGACCATGACCTGAGCCAAAGGCAGACGCTAACAACTGAGCCACCCAGGCGCCCCATCTTTTTTTTTTTTTTTTAATAGCATAAAATTCTTAATGCCCCAACTTCATATTTAAGGACTTCTGGATGTACCTTCCTAACTCATTCACCTATTGTACAGGAATCCTTTCCTCCAACCTCATCTCTTCCATGTCTCTTAGATTCATCATGTACTGTCTTGCTTACGCTTTTCTCGTTATTACTTTCTTTCTCCTTCAACTTCCTATAAACCTATCTAAACCTTCCCATAAACCATTCTAAATCCTTTCCTATCTTTTCATAGTCCTACTTTTCCCTGAGAAACCTCTACTAGCTACCTCAGTCCATAATAAACTTAATTCTTTCTCCTGCAGTACTGAAAATGAGTACCAGTCTACTCTTCTGATATTTATCATGTAAGAGGAGGCCTTGTATTAAGGGTTGACATCTTACTTCTTAGGTAATTCAAAGCTTCAAACAGAGCCAAGAAAGGAAAGGTATACCAGAGAAGATAAATTCTCAGTAATTAACTTTTTAATTAAAATATGGTTTTATGGAAATCCATGTAATCGGAAGCACTATGAAGTGTCTGTCTTATTTTGAATGAAATGCAGGTTCCACAGTAAAATTATAGAACACCATGTCAGATTCATTCATAAAACAAGCTATTATAGCAAATCAAATTAAAAAAATTTTTAAAAGGTCTTCAGTGTGGTCAGTGTTCTAGAAACAGAGCTTTTAAGATACAGTAAAATCTTCTTAACAATACTTTGAAATAAGATATGATCATATCTTTTATTTATCCACTTTCTCACTGGATATCTTATGGCAAAGCATTTAAAAGTGTTGTAAAATATAAAGATGTTACATAGTTTTCTTTTAGAAAAAGACAACATCACAGATTTGCCGTTCTTTTCTGTGGCAAGCTCCTAAGGAATATTTACCTAATGTTTTTAAAAAAAAATAAGTATTCTGAGTTTGTCCATATAGAGAAGACGGTATAACAGTGAAAAGGTTACTGCTTTTCAAAAGAAAGTTCTTATGGAGAAAATGATTTAAAATGAATGTTTGGAAGTGTTTGCATTTTTACATGTTTGCTGTTGCCAAAAATCAGTATGTCACCTATAATGTTTGTATCTGTGCCCTTAAAAAAATTAAATTAGAATATTTTTATTGAAAAACCTTTCAACTGCAGCATTTTAATAGGTTTTCAATTCATATGTTAAAAATGGTTAGTATCAAGAAAACATTGCTTTCAGTAACAATAGAAATTTAGTAGTCAGATTTCAACAACTCTAAATTTGGTGGAAGGAATTTAAAACTCAGTATCACAGTGTAGAAGATTTTTCATTTGGATCTACCAAAGGTGTCTTTTTCACCTATGACAGCTATTAAAACCAAGTATCCAAGTAAACTGAACCTAAAATCAGACTATGAATTACTATATGACCAAGTGTTAAAATTTTTCAAAATAAAACATACTCAGTCACATTGCTGTCATTAGTTCTTCCGCTGTTAAAACATTTTACTTTTATCTTTTTAAAATGTTTTCTGTTTTATAATGTATATAATATTAGGACATGTACATAAATAACAAATATACGTGTATTGATAAGCATATATTTTTTTAAAACCTGGATGGTTGTCCTATCAGAAGTCTAGAGATTCCT